GGCCCCTTTTACCTTCCTCTCCACATACCACCTACCCATCCCCTCCTCTCCCTGACAGGCCCCACAGGCCCCTCCATCCTCCAGATCTTGGGAGACCCTTGTGCGGTGATCACTACAGGTGCTTTCCAGGCCTCCGCTTTCCACCCTACAACCTAGACAACCAGACGCAGTCATAACTGCATCCTCCCCCCCCCAATCAGGTTTCCTTCTGACTGAGAGCTGGAAAGTCAGCTGGCGCGTCAGCTGGAACCGCATCCCGCCCACCGAGGAGGCCTGGTGTCCTCCCTGGGGAGAAGCACCTGCCCAGATACGCCTGCCCTGCTCCCACCGCCCCTGAGTCACTAGTCCGTGGTGTTGCTGCCACACGCCCATGCCCCCTGCACTATAACGCTCAGGAAACCGGAAGTACATCTCAGTCACTTTGCAGTCCCCACACATTCAGGACTGGCCCAGAGCTGTGATCAGTAAGTTGTGTTGAATGAATGAATGAATGAACAAGTAGCCATTTGGAGCAGGCTCCTTTCTCCACACAGAGATTTCTCATTTCCTCTCCCTTCCAAGCCCTTCACGTTCATGCTCTGTGTCCCATGCCTGGCTTCCTGGCTTCCCCTCCCGGGTCAGTTCTCACTACCTACCGGACTGATATTTGTGAACTACAAGTCACCCCTCTCGAATTTAAACTAAGCAGGCCCGATTCTTTTGCCTTTCTTCACAGAACTCGCCTTTTCACCATTATCTTCCCTTTATTTGGACTCTCTCCAAGTGGTCCGCCTCCCTCCTGAGTTGTAAAGCGGAGAAAGAGGTTAGGTTTGTAAGGCCAAGCCATTAGGTTTTATCTCCTCAGGTGGGAGCCTCTGAGAAGTCTGGCTTCTTGCTCTCGGAGACTGTCGTAAGTTTCAATTAGCCAGAATGACACAACTCCCCCGAGAGCGGCCACATCTCCTGCGCACTGGTCAGAGCTGCGGCGGGCTGTGAAGGCTGCTCGTCATTTTAGGAGCGGCTTTCAGGAGGTCTGTGACCAGCAGAGACCGTCTTTACAATCAAGGTGGGAATGAACTGGCAAAAGCGTGATGGCCCAGGAAACCGTTGTGGTCGCCGCACTTCCACTGCGAGGTTTATCCTCCTCTTCTGTTTACCAAGGTCTTTTCAAAATTATTATAATTATTAAACACCTAGGATTGTAGGGTTTGCAAGCTGCATGATAGGAAGGCTTAAGCTCAAGTTGCCTAAGTTTTGGAAGAGGATCAAAACCCAAGCTGAAGCTCCTTCCCGTTGGGCTCACAGGCCGCTGTTACTGTGTTTAGCTTTGGATAAACTTTCCTAGGGAGGGTGACTGCTCACAGAGGTTCGTTTTAAACATGCAGGCTTAGATCAGGCTTCATGTGTGAGCGCAGGCCTGTCATCATGCATTCCAGGTCACTCTCCGAAATGAATTTGTCTTTCCTCAATGTTTCTCAGAGCCGGGGAGCAGACATTCCTCCGGCTCTGCATTAATCCAATTACTAAACACCTGCAGACATGCAATAACAGTTTGGGTGCCAAGAGCCTTAGAAATGGTTTTATAGCCGAATGTAATCTGCTGTCCTGCTATCAGGAGTCACGTTACACACCTGCCAAGATCCAAGCCAAGAAAATAACATTCGCAGTTCTCACTCTGGGCAGGAATGCTCTGTGCACATTAGAGAGACAGAGTGACAGGCATTTTAGCTCGACTGCCACAGAGCCCATTAAACATTCTGAACTTCTTGGTAATTGTATTCAAAGTCGTTTTAGTACTAAAACATATACAAGAAAATTAGGACAAAACAGGATTTTCCTTCCAGGGACAGGTAAGGCAAAATCCTTCCCCACCAAAAACAATTCAAAGAACATGATGACTTGTGCTGATCCCCGGTGCTTCAGAAAATGTCAGAGGGGGCTTCTTGTGGGATAATCCCCAGGATGCCTCACGGCCGCAAGGATGCCTGAAAGGAGAAGGTAATCCCACCCCACCGCTTCACTCTACCTCACTGCCAAGTGTCTAAGTCATTTAGATTTTCCTAAAGACCCTGACCTTGAGCCCAAGACCAGTGACTGCTGGAGGGACATAATGACACCTTTCTCCAAGTACAGCTGCCTCTAAAAGCAGCAGCAGACCTCTGAGAGTCTGTCAGAATAACCAAAACAAGCCTTGATTGAGAATTGTGTGGGTTTTTTTTTTTTTCCTGAACTGGTTTTGGAAATATTCTATTGCTGCCTATGGTAAGAGTTAAACAAATCACTCGCAGAAATCCCTACTTCCATGCTTTTCACAAAAAAACAAATTTCTCTACAACCAGAGCTGCCCAGTGATTTAATTTTCGCCGACTTGAGCTCTTACAGGATGGGGACAGTATCCGCCCATTTCTCTGTACCCACGTGACCTGCGGGGACCGGGCGTGGAACATGGTGGGAAATGTTTGCCGAATGAATTCGGGGGCGGAGGGTCCTTTCCCACGGTGCACCACCCTGGGCTGAGCAGGCACCAAGCAAACGTGAGGCCGTCCTTTCCCTCCCCCTGGTCACTTAGTCTACAAAAGAAACCACTGGAAACATCAGCCACCAGGACAGAAGAGAGTAGTCGTGTCCAGGGGAAGAAGGCAGAAGGGGTGCCCTTTACGCTGCCTCCTTTGAGCTACCCACCCTCGCCTTTGAACAAACCTCACTTTGAACCAAGATTTCCAGACTCCCTCAGACAGCCTGTCACTCTGCACCTCAGAGCACTCAGAGTCTGTCCCCAACTCCCCGGCTTTGGCACTTCTGCAGCAGTAAAACATGGCATGTGATTGATCGCCGCCCGCGGTGAGTCTCGGCTTCCCAGCGCGGGCATGAGCTCCCCAAGGGCAGGAAGTGGCGTGCTTCTCAGCTCTCTCAGGTTTGGCCCCGCTGAGTGCCCACGGTCCAGGCACTCAGCAAATAGAGAGGGCCCCTTCGAGTTTACTCTCCTTGGAGTTTTCTTTCTAAAAAAATACACAGCTTAGAGGTCTCAGGTAACTTGGTTTCCTGCTGTAGTCCAAGTCCTTGCTAGTCAAAGTGTGGTCCTGTGGTCCAGGGACCAGCAGCATCGGCATCACCTGGGAATTTGTTAAAAATACAGCCGCCTAAGCGCCCCCCAACCCCAAACCCACTGCATCGGCCCCTGCGGTCCAGCAGGGGCCCCAGGAAAGTCAAATGCATTTTCAAGGCTGGGGAGCCTCATTAAGCTACACCTTCCTCTCTGAATGGGACCCTGCAGAACACTGAGGAGTCCGATCCCTGGCAGAGTCCTCTGTGTGATCCACGAGCTGCATAGCTCCACGCAGCTCCCCACGGCAGAGAAAGACAACGTGGAGCCAAGGGGTCTGAGCCAGAAGAAAAGGCAGACAACAGCACCTCCACCAAGTGCCTGAGAGGACACTTCGGTGTCCAGAGAGCAGGCGCGCATGGCCAGAGGCAAGGCGGCCAGAAGCTGGCTCCAGAGGAGCATTCCCAGACTGGGGCCTCGACCTGCCAGCCCCGCCCACGTGGCCCAGCGTTCCCAGCCCACATGTAACCTTCAGCCCCTGCCCAGAGCACTCAGCGTGACAGTAATAATAGTAGTCACAAGAAAATGCAACCTCGATCATGCTAACAACTTTTGAAAAGTAAAATGCTGGGGATATGATTTCAATTAAAACTCACATTGTCTGACTTGTCTCTCTGCACAGCAGACGTTCACCTCCTCTTGCCCTCTTAACCTTCTCTTTTTAAAACTAAGGAGGACAAGAGGCACTGGATTGATGCCTGCTCCCACCTCCACCTCGAGGTGTGGGGGTCTGTATGCCCCACGTTACTTCCCATGCCCTGTCTGCTGAGCCCCCAATGCAAAAAAAAAAAAAAGGCTTTCATGCTAACCTCACCCCAAACAAATCCCCCAAATTGTGGGCAGAATCTGAGTCCCTTTCCTCTACCCCGCCTCCACCTTGTCTCAGTTTATGAATAAACAATTCTGAGCTTAAAAGGAACTGCTCATGCACAAATGGAAAGAGCCTAAATTCCTTGCCAGAGCTTGTCTCATGCAGACAGCCCAATAATCTACCTCATTTGTGCTGAAGGTGACTTTTTCTAAATCAATTCTGATCACCCAGCAGGTGAGTGCCAGATAGCCAGGTGGGGATGGGGAAACGGCCTGGTCAGCATCCCAGTGCATACTCTCCCCAAGGAAACAGACTTGCTGTCACCCTGGAGATCGCTCATGCTGTCTTTCAACAAGATGCTACACAGAATACAACAAACAAGGCCAGCATCAAAGCCATTTGGTTACATGTAAACAATCAGACTTGTGCTTCCTAAAAAATTTATGAACTAACGCAGCAGATATTTCTTGAGTGTTTGACCGCCTTTCTGAGTCTCATTCCCATCTTTTCTTATCCAAGTAATGCCTATTCATTCTTTACAATTAGCTCAAATGTTATCTACATCAAAATTTTTCTAACTCTTCCCAAATTTCCCAAATGCTCTCCCATTCTGTTTGGGGTAAGTATCCTCCTTTGATGGGGGTTTTCAGGAAAACAAAATTAGCAACTGTTCAGATGGTTTCTGTCTATTACTGTGAGGGGAATTAACAGTGACTTTGAAATTCAAATGAAGTAACTTCTGTTATAATGTCGTATATATGTTCCTGATAAACCTCACATTTTATAAAACCACACATTAAAAGCAGCAGGGCTTTGGGGAAAATAAAGTTAAGAGTGGATCATTCAAAACATGAAATTTTAAACAGCACTAACAAAAATAGTAACAATTAGTAACACAAATAATAGAGTAGTTAAATCACCACTGGTTTTTGCTCCCGGCATCAGAGCCCCTCTATGTTTTGCATCTTTAATTTTTTAATTTAATTTTCCACTTAATTCCTTTCATTTCTGCCTTCAAGACATAGGTCCTGAAGGGCATTTCATCTCATAGAGATCAGTTTCATCAAAATAAACTATATGATCCAAGGCGTAAACTTTCTTTATCAGTTAATTTTTTTTAACACTAAGGGAAATGTACTTGCAGCTCCTTCACTTGCCTTATAGCTTCCCCAAATAGTTTACAACAGAAGGAAGTGTACCAGTGCTTAAAGCCATCATACCAGTCACTTCTTGCTCTAAAGGAAAGCATTGTGCAGGGTTTTCAGCTTTTTTCTTAAGGTTTTTCATTTATCACAAAGGCTGTCACTTTACTTGAAAACAAACTTGCCCTCTTTTTTAAACACGTTAAAAAATTTTGTGAAAAATCACCATTATACTGATACCATTTTTCCTATTAAAAGAAACATGTAACAGAACGGGCTGTACAGACACTTGCAGCGAATACTATGTGAGTGTTTCAAACATCAGTTGTGTGGCTGACAGAATAATGTCCCTTGGAGAGCAAAAGGGACTTAACAACCTTGCAGATGAGACTGAGCTGAGGATATTAAGATGGGAAGATTAGCTTGGATTATCTAGGCTGGTCCAGCATAGTCACGAGGGTCCTTATACGAGGCAGACAGGCAGAGAGTTGGAGATGTGATGACTGCAGCAGATGTTGGGGTGACGTAGGGTCACAACCCAAGGAATGTAGGCAGCCTCCTGCCAGCTGTAAAAGCCAAAGAAATGGGTTCTTCTCCAGGGCATCCAACGGAACGCAGCCCTGCTGGCCCATCTTAGGCTTTTGACCTCCAGAACTGTATGAAAATAAATGTGTGTCGCTTTAAGCCACTAACTTAATGGTGATTTGTTACAGAACAACAGGAAACTAATACAATAGTAAGATCAACATCAGTCATTATTTCTTCATCTATCTATTTACCAACACTACCTCCCCAGTTTTTCAACTGAGGAAACATGATAAAACTTTACTGTGGGCGTACCACTGTAAGAGCCTTGCCACTACTGTCTCATAGCAGACGTGTTCATGTATTCAAAGACTGAAACAACAAAGAGGTAACTATAGTCAGAAAGGACTTTGTTAAGCATTTAATATAAACTGAATAAATCCTTATGCTTACTGCATGATGCCCCAAGTAATTCATCAAGGTACTGCACAGAGCAATATTTAGACCAAAAACAGCCCATCTAGATGTGGAATCTCGGTCTTAGGATCAGTAATGAACACTGTAGGCATATAATGGGGCCTGAACCCAGTTGTATCCAGTCTCGGGGAACTGCTTACTACACATGCAAAACCGTGCATCACACCTGCCCCGAACCCCACAAAGCAGGCAGACGATGGCGCCTCATCCCCAGGCTGAGTAAACAGGGAGAACCCGCACCTGGAGCCACCACCCGGGGGCAGGGCCTCCACTCACATCCAGACTCCAAGCTAAGCCCACGACTTCAGATGCCTTTTCTTTCTAGGATCAGAAGCAAGCAGCTTGGAAAAGCACATAGACACAGTATATACCACACCTTATCATTCTCACACCAACTGCATCAACTGTCTACTGAACATCTTTCCAATGAAAAGCAAGAAAAGAGAAAGAGAAATGGCCAAGACCTTTAGCACCTCCTCAAGGAAGCTTCCAAGGCCATTGTGACTGATCACAGATTTCACATAATTCACTGCTGTGCTGCTGCAGGGGGTTTGAACGTGGAGTTTCCTCTCCCATCTTTCTACACTCTTTTCACTTAAAGTAGTGTGTTCATATTCTCACTGTTCAGTGTGGGCCAGCAAAGCCTCAGTGATTCACTTTTCCCATGCTTACTCAACACATTTCCAGATCAAAAATAGACTTAGGTGACATAATCAGTAGTCACTTAACAAACATAAAAAACAGCCCTAGGGGGTTTACGCAAAGTCCAAACGGAAATATGAACTTGGCTCACCTGATAGATCTGAGTTGTGGCTGGCAGAGCTCGAAATACACATCCCTTTCTTATCTCCCTCCAATTTCTCACCATGACTACTCTCTCAGAGAACTCCCTCATATTTTCAGATGAGTCTAAGAGGGAAATTCAATTCTTTTCTCAAAAGTAGGAAAAAGTGAGTCCTTTTCTCTTGGGACTCAGGAGCCTCCAACCATGCCGCCAGTTCATTGGGTCACTCCATATTGCAGGGGCCCAAGTGCAGCTCTCTGAAAAACAGAGTGTGGTTGATCTTCTGCATAGATGGTGCAGCGTCCATAGATAGTGCCAAGTGCCCTTCCTTTTCCTGCAAGCTCATGCCACTCCTCTGTCTACTTCTCTTCTAAATGCCTGGCTGCCCTGCAACTTGCTTTGGGCAATAGAATGTGATGGAAGCCAGTTCTGAGCCAACCCTGGGAGGCCAGGTAGGTACTGTTTTCTGTCTCTGGGAAGGCAGCCTCCAGGTGAAGATGCTCAGGTTGACAACTGAATGGTGAGCAACTGTGTGGAGAGAGAATGGCCACGTGCAGGAGAACCAGAAAGAGAGATCTTCCCCAATAACTGCATCCTGACAGCATCACAGAGTCATGAGCAAATAAATGGCGGTGGCTGTTCAGCCAATGCATTTGGGGGAGATTATGTTATGCAAAAATAGAAAACTGAAACAGAGAGTCTGGAGTGGGTGATCGCTAAGATGACGACCTCTTGTCCTAAAATCCTTTGCTCTTCATTGTTTCTCAACTCAAAGGCTCATCTGAAAGCACCAAAACTAAGGTGTGTTAGTTGAGAGGACATTATTCCCAGAGACACCCTCCTGCCTCCACCCGAGAGGCTCTGCCATCATCCCACCCAAGCACGGTGGAGATCTCAGAGGCTGAGCCGGCTTCCACCGAGCTTCGGCCCCTGGCATCTTACCAGAAGAGGGGTCAGGAGATGGGCATCCGAAACCTCTGATGCCCAGAGCCCCTGACAGGGAATGGAAGGAAGAAGTAAAACAGTTACAGAAGAATAGGGTGGATAACTGAAAGAGGATTATGCTATAATAACAATGAGGATTGGATTTCATAAAATCCTCGGTTCATAAGTTCATGGCTGGAAACAAGGTCCCCCTGCAGTAGTTAGTTTAGCAGGCTTGAAAAGCCGGCGTGACTTCCACCTCTCTGCTTTCTCCGCTCTGCGAAGAAGGCCTGGTGTGAGATCAGCCCAGCCGGACAACTGAGAACACACCACTTGGCCCGGTGATACAGAAAAGCAGCTGCCCACATGGTGTGACTTAGAAATGCCGCCGAAAGAGAGGAGGCAGAGGGTGCGCCCCATCCCGGGCGCCTGTGATAGAGGAAAGAAAGAGGGGAGACTAGTCAGATCCTGGGGAAAAAATAAAAACAAAATGAGCCTCGACAAAAAGAGGTCATAAGGGTGTTCCAGAGAACACCCCCCAACACACGTTTACAGTTTAGTGATTTCAGCATTTAATGATGTCAGAGGTTGCTTCACAGGTTACCTGGCAGAGGTGGAAAGCCTGCGATTTGGGTAATGACAACCACATTGTCCAGGCTCTCCTTGCAAGAGGAGTCCCCAGGGAGCAGCCAGTCTCTGCTCTGCCAGGCAAATGGGCCCACCAAGAGTTCTCAGATACGGAACCCAGCCCATGATCCAAACATGGAACATAGATACCGACTCTTGATTCAGGATAAACTCCTAGAGCAGTGGAAAGGCACAGAACTAGGAGCCCCCAGGAGACGTGGACAACAGCCAGATTTTGTCCGCTACAGGACCCAAGACCCATCCTCTCTCCTCTGTGGGTCTTCATCCCTCTTCCGTGAGATCAGAGAGTTAGGCGGAAGGATGGCTTAAGAACCTCTCCAACTCCGTAATTCTAGTTCTTTAAAATCATTTGATATATTCCTTTCTTTTCAAAAACTAACATGAAGTTGCCTGCAGTAAATTTCTATGCTCCACCTCCCCGCCAGGCTATGTTATTTCATACTGGTCCCCTCGTTATGAAAACAGTAACAGCATAAGGTACACAATGCCCGTCCTCAGACGCAGGACTGTGATGGTCTGAACGGAGGGGCCAGGAATTCACATAGAGCCTCATCTAATGACTGAAGGCTTTAGTAGTTAGTTTTGGTCAGACATTGTGGTCAGTGCACTTTCTCTTTGTGGCCTGGGCGGTGTTATTTAGTGAGATGTCCTCTGTGGCCCAGAATAGGAATAATTCAATGTTGTAAGTGTCCTAAGGATACTTATTTCATACTTTCTTTTTTCTGTTTCCTTTCCAGCTCTTTTAGGGGAGTTTCTTCTATTAGCTGTTTATCTTTGCTATATCTTTACAGTTTCCTCTTTTAGGAATTCTTACTGTACGCAGTTTGGTCTCCACGATCTATTCCCCACATCTCTTCATCAATCTCTTGTCATTTGCCTTTGAAGTTTTCCTTAGAGTTTGAGAAGACTGTTTAAAGCTCTTGTCTCCTCATTGTTTTCTACAGTTTCCAGCCAGCCATTCACTGTTCCAAACATGATTTTAAATTTTTTACTAAAGTACTTCATGCTGATAAGGTGAGGACTCACTTTAGTTTTCTCCCTTTTAATGATGCAGTCCACAGCCCCTGTTCCCTACTGAGTTTACAAACATGCCTGAAATACATCCTCAAGTGTTCTTGTTTCCTTACAGTGAAGTTATTCCAGAGCAGGCAGTTGGGAATCGTCAGGGTCTTTGGCAGCCAAGCCACCTCCTGATGTGGAGGAGGCGCTCAAAGGCCTGCGGTGCGGCCCCATCTGGTCACCTCACAGAAATCTCCCCTCGGCCTGGGCAGTGAGTGCCCAGTGTCCTGTGTAAGTGTTCACAGAGGTCTTCCAGGGTCTCCTCCCACTTAGTCGTTAGTCAAGGCTTCTTGGTTCAAAGTGGAAAGTGACCAAAAACCCAGCTCAAACTATATTAAGGAGAGTCGCAGGGCATGCAGCAGAATGACGAGTTTGGAGCAGAGGCTTCCTGAGAGCCAAGCTCCAGAACCAGGGCTCCCTGGGGACCACTGTCCAGTCCGTTGTCCACAGTGCAGTGCACAGTTAGGAGTCAGACTGCCTGGGTTTCAGTGATGTCTCTACCGCTTGTTGGCACAGTGACCTTTTCTTACCTGTTTCTCTATAGATTAGTTGGAAAACCAGTA